CTCCTGGACGGGCCCTGAAGCTCGGGGTGGCCCACGTCCTCTGGGAGGAACCGGGAACCCTGGGGGCCGCTCGGCCGCTCACTGCCCACCCTCGCCCCCGCTTGTGTCAAGGTCCCTCCAGTCCTCCTTGAGGCGCTGCCCCTGTGGGGCCCAGCCTGTGAGCTTTGTCCTGCCGGCAGCTTCAGGGGTAGCAGAGAAGCCCAGGCCCGGCCACCCCGTGGCCCCATCCTCCTGATGACAAGAGATGGGCTTAGGCACGCTCCCTCCCCAAAGCTGTGCCCGAAGACCCCAGCCCAGTACCTACCCGGAACAATCTGGCCATGCCCAGGTAGAGCGGGGCCAGCACAGGAAGCTAAGGCCTAAGCATCACACGGTGGCGGAGTTCCCATGGCATTCTTTTGTGCACCTGGATCAAGCTGTATCTGAAATCTCTCTAATTAACTAACCCTTTTCATTTAAGCCACTTTGAGTGGTTTTCTGAAAGAGGCCTCTCAAACAGTTCCCAGTGTGTCCCTGTAGCTCACAGGCTCCCATTTCTACGGCCCACTCAGCCTCGGCTCCTGTTGAACACTTTCAAGGACAGGGAGCGCGGCAGCTGAGCACAGTCCACAGCTACAGCGTCCCTGTAAATGTCAGACTGCCGTGTGTCTGATCACGACTTTTATTTCCTGTTTTTAAGATGCTTTAACATCCTGGGGATTTGCTACTCCCGGGGAAACCAACTGTCCCAGGGGAGTGAGCCGCTTGCTGGGGACCTGCCCTTCTGTGCCAACGAGCCTGGAGGTCGGGCTGTCTCTGAGTGACCGCAGCAGCAGTGTCCAGGGGTGGCCGACATTGCCCACTCCGTTTTGTGAACTGTAGTCTGCCATGAGCTACTCCAGGCAGACTGAAGGCTGAGGTGGAAGACTCCACACCTTGTCTGCACAGGTCAACAATGCCACCTGCTGGCCAGACCTGAGGCACAGCTGATACATCATCATGCGCAGAAGAATGACATCTGGGAGGCCACCACGCTAAGTGAAATAAGCCAGGCCCCAGAAAGCAAAGGCTGAAGGTTCTCTCTGACGTGTGGGCCCACTCACAGGAAGGGGGGAGAAGAGGAGTTCAGGGTCAGACAAAGGGGAGGGAGGGAGGGGGATGGGGAAGCAGGAGAAGGAGGTGGACCTGACTCTCCTGTGTTCCGGATTTGGTGGTCATGGAGCCCAGGGCCTCCCCTTGCCAGGCAAGCACTCTACTGCTGAGCTATCCCTAACCCTTTTTAAATTTTTTGTTTTGAGGCAGGATCTTGCTAAGTTGCTGAGGCTGGCCTCCAACTTGAGCGCCTCCTGTCTCAGCCTCCGAGTTGCGGGGATTACAGGTGTGCACCATCCTGCCCCCTTTATGACTAGACTTTCCAATGATTCCTTCCTTGAACCCAGCCCAGCACCACCAGGCAGCGAGGAGGAAGGCTCTGAGTGTCCCATTGGCTGGCCTGGTTGCTCGGTGGACACCCCATCGTCTCCTGCAGTGTTTAATTAGTGAAATAGCCAAAGGCAAAGCCTGGGGCCTCGCTGCTCTGGTCCCAGAGGCAGGAAGCAAAGGGAGGCTCACAGTGCACAGCTCACAGGCTCCCATTTCTAGATTGCCTCACACTCGCCATCCTGCAGATGGAATTCTAAAGGGCTTCTGTCTGCATCTGGGGAAAACACCATGGGCACCAGGGGGTCCTGGGAGGGACGACCACAGCCCCCAGACACCACCTGGACAGCGCTCAGCTGCCCCCACCCGGGCAGGTGGCCGGACTGGAAGGACCCAAAGGACCTCTGTGTGGACCTAGAGGCCGAGGCCAGGGGCGAATTCCAGGTTCATGCAGGGAGGAAGAGCCCGCCGAGCAGGGCAAACCCTGACTCTGGCCGCGGGGGACTCTTCCATATGGCAAAACCCACTGGGAATGTGGGAGCCGCCCGCCCAGGAGTGAGCATCCTGCTGGAGCCCCAGCTGGGCGCTGGCCTGGCATCGCCCACTCCCCCTTCACTGCCACGCGGGGACACCCGTGGGGCCTCATCGCCTGCCTCGAGACTCCCTTGTGGGTCCCCCTCTAAAAATAAAGGGACTCCGGGTGCAGCCTCTCTTTTCCATCGGACCCTCAGGTCGCAGGGCCTTCCCACCCTCCATACGAAAATTACTTCTGTGTCCCCCGCTTTTCCGCCGTCTTCGAGCCTAATGTCGCCGCCAGCTCTTTTGAACCCAGTTCATCTCCTCAGCGCGGGTTGCTGGGGAAGGGAAACGGGAGCAATACCCGTGGATTGACAGCAAGTCATCTCCAAATGCAGCTCAGCGACACTAAAAGTTCCTACGTGTTGAGAGCCACAGCCAAAGGGGCCCCAGCAAACTTCTAGCTGCCAGCAAACTTCCAGCTGCCGGCTGATGATCCAGCTGCCAGCAAACTTCCAGCTGCCGGCTGATGATTGGTTCACAGCAGCCCCAGCAACATCTAGCTGATTGGCTCCTCTACGGTGATGTTCATTGGGCTGTTTCCCTGCCCTTCAGACTGCCAGCTGATGATTGGCTCACAGCAGCCCCAGCAACATCTAGCTGATTGGCTCCTCCACGGAGCTGCTCATTGGGTGACTTCTTTGGCTCTGCCCATGCAACCCAGCCAATCGGCCTCAAGAGCAGGAGGATTGTGGGAGGTGGAGAGGCTGGTGTGGGGGTGAGAGGCGTGTGGAAGCCGGTGGTGGCAGTTGGGCTCTGAGGGTTTTTCCCTGAAGAGCTGTTTTGTTTGGCGTTTGTAGTTCTAAAAATAAAGTTGGTTTCTTTTGATAAGTGGCTCCTGAATTGTGCCCAGCCAGACTTCGGCACTACGAGTGACAAGAAAGGATCCTGACGCGCAGCAGCCAGCCCCCTGAGACAGCGGCTGCTCATCGGCGCCTTTCCAGCGGCCAGGAGCAGACATTTTGCTCGGAGGCCACTGTCAAGGGCACTGAAAGGTGCGATCCCAGGACAGTGTCCTCACCTGCTGTGGACACCCGAGCCAAGTCACCATCTAAACGCCTAAACCTGGACTACTAGGATGAATGAGAAGGGCACCTCACTGTGCCCAAGCACTGATACTTCAACTCTTGTTCCCATGGTGCCTGATGAACAGTGACAGGACCATCTGGTCTGGAGAAACCCAGATCAGAAAAGCAGCCTGGGCCCGGGTGGTCCAGGGGCTGCACTGGGCACTGGGGATCAGAAAGTTCAGTGTTTCTCAGCCGCCGCGGGAAGCACGGGCAGCCATGCTGCAGCTGCTGTGTGGAGCCTGCAGGTGGAGCCAACACCGCCACCCTGTCCCCAGGCGCCTGCCGCAGCCCAGGTGCACCTGGCAGAACAGAGTGGAACAGGCCCAGAGAGGATTTTCCCCGGGGCATTCAAGTGGGAACAGCAAAGGGAGCCAACTCACTTCTCCTTTGCGTTTGGTGGCTCACGTGACCAGCTGAGGGGGTCGAGGATCTGAACAGGTGGGGTGAAACACTGGGGGACTCCACCCCGGAATCTGTGTTCCTGGGCACCAGAGGGGTCTACTGTCCCACGAGAAGACTCCTAGGGAGGTTCCTGAGAGCCACACTCCCAGCACAGACCTGCAGGCCCTGGGGTGTTGATCTAATCTCTCCCGAGTAGATGCCACCAGCAGAGCCCCGAGGCCTGGTCAGACTCCAGTGCCATCTGCCTGAACTCCACTCATGGAACTGCGGCAGCTCCACCCTGGGAGGGCCCCCATGTGGTCAGCAAACCCCAGCTGACAGCCCTCCCATCCCATCCTACCTCACATGGGGGAAGGGAAGCTGAGAGTAACTCCAGGCTGCTTCAGCCGCAGGCCAGGCAACCAGCAGCTCAGAGAGCAGCAAAAAAGGGGAGGGGTCCGCACCCCCACCTGGCTGCTCTCTCTGTGCAGTGCTCACGAAGAAACAGAGTCGGGCATAGACGGCAACCACCTATGGTCCTGTCAACTATTTTGACCACCTCAATGGAGACGAGCTCTTCATTTGTCATTAATATTCTATCCTCTGAACATTCAGAGTATTAAACATATAAGTAACCGTGATCAGAACATACGCAACTCGAGGGCAGTATCGGAGTGAGGAGGGTTGTGAGAGGTGGGCGAATGGAACCGATGATCTCTTCAGGGAAATAATACAGAAGAATGTCCAAACCTTGAGAATGAGATAGACAAACAGAGTCAGGAATCATTCAGAACCCCAAATAGACAAGACCGAAAGAGAACCTCTCCACAGCACATTATAGGTAAAAGGCCTGATGTACTGAGAGAATTTTAAAAGCCTCAAGAGAAAAACATCAGGTCACATTTAGAGGCAAACCAATCAGAATTACTTCTGATTTTTCAGTACAAACTCTTAAGAGCCAAAGGGCTTGGGAAGATGTGTTCCAAGTCCTAAAAGAAAATACTGTCAACCCATATTGCC